GCCACCAACGTTCGTGTACTGCAATTCTGTCTATATTTATAATTGACGTCATCGTTCACAAATGTCATCGTTTCAGCTGAGCGATCATCCGCGGCCTCCGTCGCGCCCTCTAAAACACCTACACTTGCTCGTAGGTCGCCTGCACCCGCCTCCTCGTGCTCCGACTCTGACTCGGACATGGAGGTCGACCTCGCCCCCGCCTCATCGACGGATGGATTCACCCTGGTACAGAAGGGTAAGAAGCGTGCCGCGGAGTCTCGAGCTCCCGCGGNATACGATAAAATAACAACGTTATTTAGTTCCACGAAATAGAATAGGTTCAATATTCACGAGAAAACAATACAAAAACAATGATAGGAAGTTCCACGAAAGTTAAAAATGAGTCATAAAATAGCAGATGTTAAATTTGTAATTTGTTTTGTCATTTGTTCCTCCTAAATAATATAAATAAATAAATAAAGCTCGGCTGTCGCGAGGTATAGATAGGTAGCAGTCTCACTTACGGAGGTCCATGAGGAAAAAACGACTCTCTCTTACAGAGGTTTCTGTTTCTCGCTAATAGAGGTTTTGGGAGCTTAAAATGACGGGTCCTTGCTATTACTCTCACTTATAGAGTTTTCTTACTTATCCAGTTCTCACTTACCCAGGTTTGACCGTATATAAAAATGAATTGCTGTTCGTTAGTCTCGCTAAAACTTGAAACCGGCTGGACCTTTTATTACCTTGTTTGAAGTCGTGTCCGGTGTATATACCGGCCCGGATAAGACGTCCGGTGTATTCGTATCAAGCGATGCAACGGTGTTCGAATCTCGCAAGCAAGTAACAATTTTTGTAATGAAATATTTACATACCTAACAAACCTTGACTTCCACAGTGAATTAATATGATTGTGTAATCAAAATCAAACACGAAAAATTTTAATTTTCGTAATTACTGTTGGTAGGACGCTTTGTGAGTCTACACTGGATTGGTACCAACTTATTTCTGCCGAGAAGCAGTAACACGTTTCGATTTGAAGGGTGGGGCATCCGTTGTATAGTAACAATTGAGGCTCCGGTAACCACTTAACAGCAGGTGGGGCGTGAACTCGTTCAACCATCTAATCAATAAAAAAGACACACAGTACCAAACATCATTTCTCTTATAACCAAAATTGATTTCTTATTGTAACGAGCTCCCGAGCTCAAAATATGATAGGATTAAGTGTCTACATATTTTCTTATTGAAATGCCCATAATGCTGATAATAATGGCGGCCAGGCGCGTGTGTAACAATTCGTATCTCACATAATTTTGACTCTAGCAGTCGCATCGGTTGATACGCCGGGTATTTTAACGACCCAACTGGATAATCGTTAATCGAATGATGGTACAGCATTATGACCTTCAAATCTGGACTCTCGATGGCTTACCTGAAAGCTTACCGAAATAACTGCCTTTTTGTTTAAAAAAAAAACACGTTTCATTGCGGCTATATAAATAGACTCCAGTGAAACTCTTTATTCAAGTATATAGAATCCAACCGCAGTTTAATGTTTGGGTTAAACTAATATTTATTTTCGTACGTTTGCTTAAATTATGACAAACTCGTGTTTTGTTTATTTTGGTTAGGTTCATAGATTATACACTTAATATATTCGAGGTTAGGTTGGAAGGTTTCTGCGATTTTAATGTTTCGGCATTCGGTAAGCATTGGATAATGCGAACGGCTGATTTGTTGATATGCCTTTCGGATCGTGACCAAGGACCGTAAATAAAGTTTGTTTACGTATTCACACTGCAGTGATGTAATTGTTAAAATGCATTCGTTACCAGACAATAAAAACTTTAAAAAAAAGTATATGTCACCATTTAGATAGTGTTTTTGCGATCTTTTAAGGTTTTTTTAACTAAGCTGATGGTTTAGAGAGACCATATCAGCGTATCCTTAACTAGTAGGTGAGCTCACGGGGCTCAAACCTGACGACGTTGCTAACAAGAACCCTAGCAAGAGCCATGCTTCGCAGAATCTACCACCGGATCGGAAACGCGACCCACGGAGAAGATTCGGCGAGAAACTCAGTGGGCTGTGTCTGTGGGTTAATTTACTCGCCGGGAACGATGACCGATGCTTGAGGTACCTAAAAGAACTGCTAGTGGATCGGGAGGATCCGAAATGGCGTGTTTTGGGCGACGTCGACTGTTTACCATTTGGTCCGCAGGATTGGCTATGTAGTTCCCGGCGGCCACGATGAGAGGATTCTCGTGTCGTGGCGCTTTATAGAAGTGGCGCATTGATGCCGACTGTAGATACTTACTGATGGACTCTAGGTCCAGGTCGTCGTGCAGGTCGATGTTCCTGACGAACCACGGGGCTCCGACGGCTATTCTGCAAAAACGGGATTGAATAATTTGAGAGGGTTTTAAGTTGAGCGAACACTTCCATAGGTCATGACGGGGCGTATGCAAGTTTTGTAGAGTGTCACCTTATTTCTAAGGGACAATTTACTTCGCTTGCAAATCATCGGATAGACTTTTAAGGTGAGGCATATTAGAGGAATGTCAAATTTGTGGTTAAGATTGGAAGTAGGAGGTTAACGTTCTGCGGACACGTGATCAGAGGAAATGCACTTTACTAGAAGAGCTAGAGAAATTTGATGTAGATGAAAAGAATAAAAGAAAACGAGGGAGAAACGAACGAAGATGGAACAAGTATATAGTCTATATAATTATATAAATGGAGTAGGAGTGAACGTGAATATCACTAAATATAAAGCAAATTAAGATATATTAAACTGACTCCTGACTAAGGAAAAGGTTAAGAGAAATGTTGAAAATATGATGGGCTTTGGATTATGAAATGACGAAATATCCGACATGATTAGTGATTATGGTATTGTGTCGTGGTATCTCAGAGTTCAGTGTGCTTAGTGCGAGTTTTTTTAACGTTCTCGATAGCGTAAAAGTTAAATCAAATTTGTATGGAGTTGGAACGTTTTCGTACGTTTTCCGCTAGGGGCGCTGTTCCAACTGCATACAAATTTGAATTACTTTTACGCTATCGTACGAGAACGTTAAAAAGCTCGCACTAAGCACACTGAGTGTAGCTTTAAAAGCCCATATACACCGAGAACGCCGATGCCTGGGTAACAGGTATATTTTATTTAGCTTGACCTTCGAAAATAAAATATTAAAATGGATTTTCATATTAGTTAGAAATAAAAAGAGGCACATGTTTAATCGTCCGGGAAGAGTCAGTAAAATATTGCTTTGGATTGTACTTAGACAATGTCACGTTCCTGATAAAAATTCCAAATTATTAGCCTAACTTAATATTGATGTCTGGCTACAAAACTGGCGATATTTCAAATATCGCGAACAGAACTTGTTCATCAATTTTAACAAAAAAAGAAGTTCTTATTTAATCATTTTGTGATGCATATAACTAGTCAGGTCATAAGTATTGTCATACAGAAAAAACTTTTCTTTTAGAATGCTGGCCACAATAAAGTTTATTGAATTCGAATTTCGAATTGTTCATGAAAATAAAAATGTATACTTTTAGAATTTTACTCATTTTTAAATATGGAGTGGACGCTTAAAGAAGACCGTGTTGCAGTTATTGCGTTGCATCGTTGCGGTTACGCGCCAATTCAAATTTTTAACATACTGAAAAATTTGAANAGTGGACGCTTAAAGAAGACCGTGTTGCAGTTATTGCGTTGCATCGTTGCGGTTACGCGCCAATTCAAATTTTTAACATACTGAAAAATTTGAATATAACCAAAAGATTCGTTTATCGTACCATCAAACGATACAATGAAGACTCTAGTGTAGATGACAGGTCAAGAAGTGGTCGCCTTCGGTCTGTTAGGACTCCAGCTGTGATAAAAGCTGTGAAGGCGCGAATTCAAAGAAATCTCAAACGTAAGCAGAAACTGTTGGCCCTTCAGATGGGGTTAAGCAGAACCACGCTGAAAAGGGTGTTAAATGAAGACTTAGGGCTTCGGGCATATCGAAGAAAAACAGGACATCGTTGGAATGCTCGTCTAATAGACCTGAGACTGAAGAGATGCCGCACTTTGTTGAAGCGGTACGCGGGAAAAAAATATCGGGAAATTCTTTTTTCCGGATGAAAAAATTTTTACCGTAGAAGAGAGCTACAATAAACAAAATGATAAGGTGTACGCACACAGTAGTGAAGAAGCGAGCAACCGTATTCCACGTGTCCAACGAGGTCATTTTCCATCCTCGCTCATGGTATGGTTGGGAGTTTCTTATTGGGGCTTAACAGAGGTACATTTTTGTGAGAAAGGTGTAAAAACGAATGCAGTTGTGTATCAAATACAGTCCTGACGAACCTTGTGGAACCTGTTTCTCATACCATGTTCAATAACAGGCACTGGGTATCCCAATAAGATTCGCCGCCAGCTCGGCGGCGCGTGAAATCGACTTCATCCGGCACGAAGACTGGCCCTCCTCCAGTCCAGATTTGAATCCGTTAGATTACAAGATATGGCAACACTTGGAGGAAAAGGCGTGCTCAAAGCCTCATCCCAATTTGGAGTCACTCAAGATATCCTTGATTAAGGCAGTCGCCGATATTGACATGGACCTCGTTCGTGCTGCGATAGACGACTGGCCGCGCAGATTGAAGGCCTGTATTCAAAATCACGGAGGTCATTTTGGATAAACTTTAGTGTCATAAGAATCTATGTTTTGTTAAGTTCATTTTGGTATATGAATGGTTACATAATGAATAAACTTGTTTCAATTATTTTACATTAAACATGTGACAGAATTTATGACCTGACTAGGTATAATGTAAGTTACTTGAACTTCGAGAGAAAAGAAATAAATTGGATTGTAAAGCCTTCTTATCGCAATAGGTAATGTTGATTTCATTTCACGTTTGGAAATATAAATATTTTTTACGATTATATTTAAAATATACAAAAACATATTTGTTTTTTTGCCAAAACAATATTTTAACAAATACAAGATAAACATGTAAATTGTGAAATGCGTCTTTTTCTGTTTCTTTCAATAATAATATTATTAATAGCTTTATGCAATGCATCTTTCTACGTAGATTCAAAAAATAAACAATTAACAATATTCCGAAAACCTTCGGCAGACGAAGTTAAAATATCTCCAAAAACAATTCAGTATAATCATGGTCGTATCAGAAATTTTCCGGCTCACAACTATATTCAAGATGATAAAAGAGAAGAATATAGTCCATCTACTAATCACCTGAAGAAGAATATAAAGAGCTTTTACAACGAAGATCTTGAAAAGTTGAAAAGACCGCGTCACCTGCCTTCTAGAGCGAACTTAAATTTTATCAAAAAACGAATCCCTAAGTACAGAAGGGATGATTCTTCTTCGTCCGATACCGAGAGTTCCAGTAGAGAGATGAAAGACTGGAAAGAGGAATATGCAGAATACTGGCTGGCGAAGAAATTGGAAGCGTTGAATACGACTATGGTCCCTGGAGATTCTGTGAACATGGTCGCTGCTAGTAAGTAGTCGTCGTGGCCTAAAGGATAAGACGTCCGGTGCATTCGTGTTGAGCGATGCACCGGTGTTCGAATCCCGCAGGCGGGTACAAATTTTTCTAATGAAAAATGTACTTAACAAAAGCTCACGATTGACTTCCATGGCGAAGGAATAACATCGTGTAATAAAAATCAAATCTGCAAAATTATAATTTGCGTAATTACTGGTGGTAAGACCTCTTATGAGTCCGCGCGGGTAGGTACCACCGCCCTGGTTATTTCTGCCGTGAAGCAGTAATGCGTTTCGGTTAGAAGGGTGGGGCAGCCGTTGTAACTATACTTGAGACGTTAGAACTTATGTCTCAAGGTAGGTGGCGCATTTACGTTGTAGATATATATGGGCTCCAGTAACCACTTAACACCAGGTGGGCTGTGAGATCGTCCAGCCATCTAAGCAATAAAAATAAGCGTCTATAATGTTATTAGTTGTTTAATCTTTTGCAAATTGTATCCACTAAATGCGTTTTGTTTTAAAGGACCTTGGGGTGTCTCGTGCGGAGACCCAAACCAGCACGACATGCCTTGGGGTACGTGCATGCTGCCCATGGAATGCGACGCCGAGTACAGGATATACCGCGGCGATCATTTCTGCGGGAGAACCGAATTCGTTTGTTGTTCTCTACAACTATCCGCATTCGACATGCACCAAGATATTGACATTTCATTTGCCGACTCAAGTCTCTCGACCGATTCAGAGGAGCGTAAAGAACGAGATAAAGATTCAAAGGAAAAGAAGCGAAGCAAGAAAAGGAGAGATAGACGTAAACGCAAGAGAGAAAGGGACAGACGCAAACGTAAAATCAAGAAGAACATCCGAAGAATTGTAAAGGAAATCAAGCGGCTACTGAGCAAAACTTACAGGAACGGTACGACGGATCGAAAAAAGAAGACCAAAATGCTCAAGAAGTTTGTATCGGACCTGAAGAAGCAGTATAAGAAAGACAGAAAGACCGTTAAAAATCTACATGAAGTTGAATTAGTGAAGATAGACGCTGCACTTCAGAGGAAACTGAATCAGATAAGATACGCTAATGAGAACTTCATGAAGAACAGCACGTTTAGGGACATAGTCATTAACGGCACGATGAACAAGTCCGGTGCTAGAATGCTGGTGGAGGCTTATCCTGAGTTATCCAGTTACATTGATGCAACCAGACGAAGCGGAGCGTCGTACGTGCCTAAAGATTATGTCGAGTACGACATAGAATATGGACTAAATTACTATCCTTAATTTACGAAAAATACAACTTCAAATGTAGCGACAATGGCCCAAAACACCATCTAACAAATTATGAGTTTGGGTAAAAAAATAAAAAAATACGTTTCTTTTTTGTAAATTTTCAAACGGAATAAATACTATCAAATTTATAGGCCCTAGATAAACGTCTTTATTCAACGGGTTCTGTTTTATTTCGATGCACAAACATCGTTGAAGTTTCAGTTCGGAAAACGGAGTTCTCTTTTAAGGAATTATCTGTCTGAAAGCTGCAAGTAGAATCAATAAGCTGCTGCTGTATATCTCGCATATCTCGATCTAACTGAACTACATAAATCCTGGTTCAAACGTGTACTTTTTAGTTTAGGAGGTGAATGTAAAACAGCTAAGCTCGAATTAAATTTAGCATTTTTTCGTAGGTCTATGCAATCTTTTCGGCAATGTCGCGACGTGTCGCTTTGTCATTAAGGATCCTCCCGATCTATTAACGGTGCTCGACGAGTAAATTGACGCATAGACATAGCCCACTGAGTTTCTCGCCGGATCTTCTCAGTGGGTCGCGTTTCCGATCCGGTGGTAGATTCTGCGAAGCACTGCTCTCGCTAGGGCCAGTGTTAGCAACACTCTGGTTTGAGCCCCGTGAACTCACCTACACATTAGACTGAAGCTGAAATATCCTCTCAAGGCTATCAGCATAGGTAAGGAAAAAAATACTACTAGGTATTCTTTTTAACCTACCTATACTGCTAATCTAGGGATTATGCCAGCTTAACCACTAGGTAATAAACAATACTGATTTAATTAAAAACATTAATATTCTACAAGAGTGCAAGCTCTTGAACTACTCTGGCATAGTTCCAGCGAACTGAGTGTGACACGTGCTACGTACAGATTGTATCGCTCTCGCGTCTCTTATATACTACATATTTGTTAACATTCAACAAACACGAGACTGCAGTGTATTATGCTTTGGATGTTTGTAATGTTCTATTTTTGTCTTCAATACTTGTACTCAATGTCAAAGCCTATAAATCAAAATTTATATCAAATCTTTTTTTTTTATTTTTTTTTATTGCCCTTGTAGGCAGACGAGCACACGGCCTACCTGATGGTGAGTGGTTACCGTCGCCCATGGACTTCAGCAATGCCAGGGGCAGAGCCAAGCCGCTGCCTACCGCTTAAAATCAACATGAAATTATTCAAAAGAAGAATATGTTAGAAATATAGGCGAAACAACATTGTGGCGTATTTTATAACCCATTAAAACATAAGCAAAGGTAGTTGGGAATTAATTTAATAAGCAAAACTGCTACTGCACACCATTTTTTTTATTGCTTAAATGGATGGACGAGTTCACAGCCCACCTGGTGTTAAGTGGTAATTGGAGCCCATAGACATCTACAACGTAAATGCGCCACCCACCTTGAGATATAAGTTCTAAGGTCTCAGTATAGTCACAAAGGCTGTCCCGCCCTTCAAACCGAAACGCATTACTGCTTCACGGCAGAAATAGGCGAGGTGGTGGTACCTACCCGCGCGGACTCACAANATGGATGGACGAGTTCACAGCCCACCTGGTGTTAAGTGGTAATTGGAGCCCATAGACATCTACAACGTAAATGCGCCACCCACCTTGAGATATAAGTTCTAAGGTCTCAGTATAGTCACAAAGGCTGTCCCGCCCTTCAAACCGAAACGCATTACTGCTTCACGGCAGAAATAGGCGAGGTGGTGGTACCTACCCGCGCGGACTCACAAGGGGTCCTACCACCAGTAATTACGCAAATTATAATTTTTGCGAGTTTAGATTTTTATTACACGATGTTATTACTTCACCGTGGAAGTCAATCGTGAACCTTTGTTGAGTACGTATTTCATTAGAAAAATCGGTACCCGCTTGGAATTCGAACATAATTCGCACCATTGGTAGAAGAAAGTCGCAAGTACAATTACTTCAAATTTTTTTTATTTCACAATTCGTTAAAGGAGACCATGACACATGTGCTCAACAAGTTTGAAAAAAATATTCCAAAAAATGACGGAAATATCGCAAAATTTGCGAAATGCTCAGATTTTTATTTTTTAAATGATTCACCTTATTATTTACGTAATTTTTGTTATATTTGGTCATTTCTGAAATTTTCCCTATCACAAAAGCTTATTGTTACTTATACACAATTTTATTAAAATATACGTGCATAAATGAACATGCCACGATATTTGATGAAGATGTGAAGTGCGCAAGTTCAGTTACGTGTTTTTTGTACGTGACTTTTTGCGAATCATTCATACCTAATATTATAAGCTCGCTTCTTCTATGATTAATTTCGATGGATTTTAATTTTTAAATGAAAATACCTAATTTTATACTGTATATTTTGAAAATATTTCGTAACGTAATTATAATTAAAAACAAAAACATTAGCATATCAGTTGGATAAACCACACTACATATTTACTTATTTCTTGCGAAATTTGATTATACAAAAATTTGTATCACGAAATTTCTTGTTTGTTTTTAAATCTATCACGCACGAGAGTGGTGCATGGGCACTAGCTGAATAGTTCTCACGTGCATGCCGTTACCTAGTTAACTATCATTGATCTAAACGTATGTGTACCATTTTGAATACGTATATAGGTACCATTTTTTACGCAAAGTTAAATACGATACTCCTGCAAACTGTACTGCAGAAGTAAAGTTATGGATATTATTGAAAGAAAACGTAAATGACTTGATGCGCATGCGCATGCATGACATGTCAATGAGCTTACTGAAGATGGTATTAAATCTAAATAAAGTCTCAAAGGAATGTTCTTCTTCTTATGACGATGGACCATAAACTAGTTTAAGTAATACAGTACAGAACAGTGGAACTAGACAATGTGATTCCGTATTAGCAACTTTGTCGGAAACTATAAACTTTTATACAGAATCAACCAAAGAATCTCGATCAAAAGAAACACAATCGCATAATGCAAATGTTTTAGAATTAGCGGAGGAGAAAGTCAGTGGAAAAGAAAACCCTATTTAAACTGCCAATGATATAAATTTCATCGCATCGTAGTTTACCCATAAAAATAATCAAATAGCAATGAAAAGAATTAAAAAAGAATGCGAGATGAAAGTTCCTGGCAGGTGAAGAAGTAAAATATTCAAAAATTTTGGTAAATCATACCGTTAATGGATACAGGAAAAGAGAAGAGAAAAAGTTACGGGAGATCCATGTAGATAAAAGAAAAAAGTGTAACAAATAAATAGATAAATTGTTATTTTCCACTATTATTGATGTTTGGGAAATTCTGAGCGTCAATAGAATTGTATTTTATTATAAGATTTGTAAAATCTAAGCCTAAACGTATGACATTGGTAGATTCGAAAAGCATATACTTTGGAATATAATTTCCCAAAAAGTTTAAATACTGAAAATGTAGTAACTATTTGCGAAAATATGTTTATACAGAATTTGGATATAAATGATAAAATTGTGTACACAGCTTGATGAATAAGAGATGGAGTCAGTGAAAGATTTACGAGGATGTCATTCTGACCGGCCTAAAAAGTAGATGATTTAAATAAAAAGCTTTATTGATCATATAAACCAATTTCCTAGAAACTCAAAGGGAAAATTTGGACGAAAAGCTTACTTATGCTAAAAGTGTTTATATCTAAACTGGACAAAAGATCAACAACTCTGTCAAAATGTTAAGCCAGCAACACTATAACAATAGACCCTTGCTCTATTTTCAACACAAAATTCAATATCTGATTTTTCTACCCAAAATTTTTTTTATGCGGTTATGAAGGTGTAGGAACAAGCGGATGATAAAAAGAAAAAGCAATTGAAATACGAATACGAGAATTATTTAAAGGACAAAAAAATTGTACGGGATATAAAAAGCACAGAAAAAGAAAAAGATAATACAAAAGAAAAACCAGTAGCAAACTTGATTTAGAAAAAAAATTGACATCAATCGGAGGTCGGAGTTTTTCGCAAGCAAACAAAATACCCAGTATAAAATTTCACTGTTCATCATATTTTAACTAAAGGTGGTTATTGCTATATGCGGCTTGCTGGAATTGCGAAAGGGGAAGCCAATGAAATAGATGTCAATGGATTTTTTTGCAAAATGAAGCATCGAGGGGTATCAGAAAAATATCGTTATATTTGGAGAATTGTTCAGGATAAAACCGAAACTATTTAGTTTTGCACTATATATGTATATATGGATGTTGCAAGAAAAATTATCCACGGCTTTTAAAAAAAATCTCATTCTCAGAATGAAGGAGACTCGATGCAGCATGTAGAAACAAAAAAAAACGAGTTTATTATGCACCAGACGAAAAGCACTCAATCGTTCGCAATGCGAAAGGAAATACGAAGAAGTATGTATTGTGAAACACATGATACAAGAGAATTTCTTTAACTATAAACGATTAGTTGAACTTGCTAAAAACTGGTATGAGGATATCGCTGGCAACAAAGTTTTGTGGTCTAAAATAAAACGATTATTTTCTGATCTCCAAAATCCTATAATTATTAATATGAAATATGATATTTATGAAGAAGAACCTAAATGGGTTAATACCAATGCAAATTACAGAAAGGAAAGGCAGAACAGAAAGGTTCAGAGTGAAAGTAACCAAGTATTATCGGCACTAACGCAGATATACAATGGTCTATCTATCTATCTATTTCTAGAAATTTCAACAGAGACTTGATAAGTCCTTGTTATGGCAATAATATACGATCGCATTATCATGGTTTTTATAAATGATTACGTCTTGAGCATTTTATTGACTAATTTACTTTTAAACATTATTATCAAGTCCTTTTGTTTAAGAAAGCTGGTTGATTTCATTCAATATGTTCATATTAACAACTTAAATTTAATTACTACCTTAAGCATTCAATTTTCACATAAATAATAGCAAACAAATGTTGTTGTAGTAAAAAAATACGATTTATTAAATATATTTTAACGTTTTCTGTCAGAGTAGAATAAGTAAGTTG